GAGGGAGGGATAAGAAGCTCAACATCTCAAATGCCTGAAGTGGTGGTAAAGGAAATGCCTGTGGCACATGTCTCTTTGTGCTTGCCTTAATAGAAGATCACATAATAAATGCGCCAGTGGCAGTAATGAGACATTTGCTGTCTCTTTAATGCCTTGCAGTGATTCTCAGAAATCACTTGTTCTTAATGTCAAAAATAATTTCTTATAATTTTGAATATATGCAGGAATCTCTCATCATGAACTTTTATTTTCAAGAGAGTGAGTGAGTTAGAGAGGATGCTAGAGAGAGCCCTTGCATTTGAGCAGCACTATGTATGCAACCAGTATGTTAAAACTATGGAAATAAGAATGAAAATATTTTTTGGGAAACATTTCCAAAGGAAGGAGATAGAAAGACTGCAAATTGTTTTAATTATGCAGCGGTGTATACTCTGCCCTACTTTCCTGTTCATTTTATTTAAAAAATAATGAAAAATTTGGAGCCTCAAGGCTCAGTGCAGATCTCAAAGTAAGGACTAGAGTAAAGTGCCTATTCCCAGTAGACACAGCTGTTAAAATAAACAAACAAACAAATAAAAAACTAGTGTGTTCACAGACTCCCAATGAACAAATCAGAAATTATTAACATGCTTATACCATTGTCAAAACATGAAGAACTTTCCAAAGAGCCTGGTGTCCAGACATAACCAATTCATGTCTGAACAGAGAAACATTATGAGGAAATATGGAAAATTTAGTGAGTGAGATAAAAAAAAAATATATCATGCTGTGCTGTCATGCTAGACAAATGCACAGAGATTTTGGCAAGTAGCATCATTACAGAGGCAGAGTGAACCGAGGGGAGAGGTTTCTACAGCTGCAGAGGGGTGAGAAAGCCCCTCATAAAGAGATAGTGTGCATTATTAAACAAGAGCTTCTCTTTCCTCTCATCTAGAGATGAAGAAATATTTAATAACAGGTAGGTGGAAGAAGAAGAACAAAGCTTTAGAATTACTAGTAGGAGTTATGATGACAACTGTGGTGGCTTTTTAAGCAAGATGAAAGGTTATAGTTTCACCACAATTAAAAGAAATCACAATGTATAAGAGGAAAATGAACAGAAATGGTGGAGTGAAAATAGATTTGAAAAGATCATCACCTTATTAGGTCAACTGTCCTGGGTGCTTGTCAACGTTTTTACCCGGTCTCTGAATGTTGGTCAACGGGCTCCTCTAGGCAGTCACAGTCTGCCATATTCTCACCATTTTTTAATAATGGATTTAAAGATGCTGCACAGCATGTTCAGTGTTTGGGATATTTCTTTACAACCAACTCCTGACTAATAATTTTCATGAACTTTGTCCTGGATTTTTCTTTCTAAGCTTCATGATGGCTTTTTTTAATTTATTTTTTTAGATGTCCTCTAACAAAATACCATTTTCTAAATCGCGTCCATTGACATGGCCATAACACTAAATGAAAACAGAGTAGATAGAGTAACGGAAATGAAACACTACCAGTTTTAATTGAAATGCTGGAGAACTGTCATTTTCTTTACTCATGGAAACACTTCACTAGATGGTTGAGGACTTTACAGATATAGATAATGGCAGAATGCTGTAATATTTTCTCTCACAGCCAAACCAAAACCAATGCATTACGTTTATTTCTCCCATAAGAAGTCCACCAGTCCATGCCAGTAAACAATTGGACCTCAATATTATGTTGTTTTTTTTTTTGGTCTAGGTATTTTGATATGACTTACCCTCATAAGACACTTTGAATCCCAAGGACCCACTGGTATCGTCCGTCTTGAAATTAAGCCACATCTGATGACTAGTGCTCACCACCAGATCTGGAGTGTTGGTTCCTGACAGCCTGGAAATAGAAATAGGATTCAGAAAACATGCCTCATTTGGTAAGTTTCATGCACAGTCTGATCCTAATGTACTCTACACCAAAAGCTCTGGCTGATTATGGAGTCTCTCTGGCTCTGGGATTATGGGACTCACTAATTGAGCATATTAGGTCATTTGAGGTTTTGAGCACCTAGAAAGAGTAAGAGAGCAAGAGAAAGCGAGAGAGAGTACCCAAGGATGCTATAATGCTCAGCTACTGCACGAGCACTCTCAAGGCTCTGCCTTATAGCGCACATAAAACAGCATCAATAAAACTTTATGTACACCATAAATTCCAGCACAATTAATAACAACACTCTGAGAAACATTCCAGAGCATCTGGTAAGGCAAACTGCATTACAGGCATCAATATGCAGCAAGCCTTTTTTTCTGGAAGCGTGATCTTCTTGTAACATTGAGAGCCAAAGTGATTGGCACTTGAGTGCGGGGTATTTCTCCCATCCGCTATTACTCAGAGGGCTGATGAAACAAGGAGAAACAGAGCGAGAGGAGGAGGAGGAGGAATAGAGAATGTGAGGGTTAAAAGACGAGACCATCAAGGAGAGAAAGAGAAAAGAAAGCAATAGAGAGTATCAAGCACAAACGTGTCAGAGACAAAAGTACTCACACATGAAAGACGGTTCTTTGGTCCCCAATTACAGCTCCATCGCCCACAGTTAGAGTGTCATACCCACGCTCCAGGTCAAAGTCCTCAAAGGTCAACTTTATTACCTGCACACAAGCCCATCAGCTTCATTAGTGCACATATCAGCAGTTGATCTATTATACCTCCACTATCCAATTGTTCATTTACACTTTCACCTACCAAGTTGACCAGCAGTCCAGTTTCACATTAGCAAAGTTCAATTGGAGCTGAACAACTTACTGTTTCCATATTCCTGTGCTTGGAACAAAGCTATGAAATAATTTGGGATCACTGAAGGTAAAGTTGATGATATTCACAGAAATGTAATATCAGGTATGTCATAGCAGCCCCAAGTTGTAGTTTATTGTACCATACCAGTCGTGAACCAAAGTATATGAGGTGAATGATGCAAAAAACCTGAGTGAGGTCAAGTTCATTCAAATGAAAAGTGATACAATGTGGCAAAGTTGAGTAAAACACCCACAAGCCCCCAACAGAGAATGATTTGAGTTGCACAAAGTGAAAAATCACTTCCTTTTTTGTATGTCTGTTAAGGAACAAAAATGAGTTTTAGCAAACCATCTGTTGAAGAATGATGAGTGGATGTTGTTAGAACCAACTGGTACTGACATTAAAATGGGGAAAATGATTAATTAAGCATAGATGTTTTGTTTTCTGTTTGATTGTGCAGTTTAGGATATATTGAGAGTTGGCAACTTAAGTTAAAAAATGACATCAATATTTTCTTGGGTTATGCAGCTGCTCTAGTTTATTTTCTAGGATGTCTAGATCTTTCAGATTATACAAATCACCTTTGTGCGATTGTTTCTTGGCCAATACTCATCCACAAGCCAAGCTCTCCCCTATCATACTCTACCAAAACAGGATGAAAAAAGCTAACATGTGCGTCCTCCAAGATGAGCTGTCCTGCTCATCAGGGTGGCTCAGCAGGTGTCACAGGGTGGCGTACCATAACTTGAAGGAAAGTGCTATCCTGATCCACTGGACTCTCTGCCATGGATGGCTGAATCATCAGGAATCCACACAGAACTCGCAATCGCTGGATGATAAGGTGAACGCTTCTATTGCATCACTCAGGAGCCCAGGTTGCTAGTTTGTTGCTAAATGTTTATTGGGTAGAAGCATAAAGAAAGAAACTGGGGAAAAGACTTGGTTGCTCAATAGGGTCTACCACCAACTTTAAACCAAAAACTTGCTTTTAACGCTGAAAAAAATCTGAAGGATAGAACATGTGCAGTAAAGAAGCAGATTGTGTATTTTTCTTTGCTGTTAAGAGCAGAGATGATAAAAAAATTAAACTACAAAAAAATGGATTGGTTATTTATAAATAAAAAGATGGAAAGCACTCAAATGCAACTGTTTTATGCCAACTTTAGTATGCATGCACAAATCCTTCACTACCATCCAAGTAGTGCTTAATTCTGAGTTCTGAATACTGATGTGTACAATTTCAATATCATCTCCTCCCTACACGCATTGAACTCAACTCTAAACATGGCCCATTGTCTTTGAACATGGCTGTGCATGGGCTGTGCAAACACCACCAAATGTAAGGGGAAAATATGTGCTGTCTAGTCTCCTGTTTCAAATTGTCTGCCACATTTCTGCCACATTCTTAATGTTTGGAGGCCGACTCCTAATGAAAAAGCTTATATAAATGCAAATTGCATTCTGTCCTATGGTAAACACAGTGGGTAATGAAAATTGCCAGGGGTGAGGAGGCAGGATTCTGGGTCAGATCTTAGATAAATGGAGTTTCATCTTGCTTTTTCTCCTCTCCTCATCCGTTTTTCCAACTCTGTTTTTAACTGCCATGTCATCCTCAGTAGGTTAGGCCTGCACTTTCATGTGGCCTCATGGGAAACAGTGGGTGTGGTATTGATTGACAGTTTTATGGGCAGACAGTAAAGACAGTTGACTCTCTGTGGGTTTCTGAGAGCTTGTAATCTCCTGAGCTGTAATCTTCTTTCATAGAGTACAAAATGCTGGGAGCAAATATGAACTTATGGTATGCTGTGAAGGATGGCACTGATCTGCTACCTGGGAACTCCGGAGATACTGCTGAGTAAATGAACCTGAGGAGCAACACAGTCGTGTCTAGAGCGATATTTATATTTATGTAGTAAATGGTCTGAAGTCACCCAACTCAATTTTACTAAAAATTCATAGCAGGTCAATTGACAAACGGCAATGATTTCCAGGGATTTCATATGAATATCCATCCATCCATTAACCATACCACTTATCCTACAAAGGATTGCAGGGAGGCTGGAGCATATACTAGGGAACAAGATGGGGTACACCATGGACTGGGTACCAACCCATCGCAGGGCACAATTGCACACATTCACATACTACGGACAATGTAGAAATGCCAATCAGTCTACAGCACATGTATTTGTAACCGGAGTACATGGAGAAAATCACAAAACACAGGGTTAACATGCAAACTAACATGGAAGAGGCAGGATTAGAACCCACAGCCTTGGAGGTGCGAGGCAAACATGCTAACCACTAAGTCACCCCCCCCCCCCCAGAGTAAATTATTATACAGATTTATTATTTTGTACATGAATTGTACTGCTTTATTTATTTTCATTTTTAACAGTGTAAACGTCTTGACTAGGTTGCTGCAGATACATTGTATTTAACTGTTTTCTTCTGGGAGATTCTATTGTGTTCCCAATCTAACGTTTCAAAAGTGTTAGCTCTAAGGAGACCATATTCACCAGGGAATAGTTTCATGCTACATTTCAAACACTGTGTTACACAAAATGGTCAAAACCATGACAAGGCATTTATTCTTACTATTTACTTCTGTTGTAGAGAGGAAAAATGCTTTTCACTGAAATTATTGAGATTGGGACTAAAGATGAATCGAATTTTAGGCAAATGAGATTCCCCAGAGAATTGCATATAATACCAATCAGGTGGGTAAAGATAACAAAAACAAACACTGATAATTAAAGCTGAAAGGAGGTAATCTGCCACTGCTGTCTGTGAGATCATTTCATATTTTACTGCTTCTATGTGATCCGTTCATTTAGAACATGAAGTCTAGACTCACATATTCACTCTGTTAGGGGAATAATATCCAAGTATGTGCTGCCACTCCAACATCCATCCGTCCTACTTTTTCTAATTTTCTGCATATGAATTCAACCATTCCTCTATATGCTCAAAAGATGCTCAGTACAGCTTTGGTATGACTGTATCTGTTCATGTTCACTTTAGTGTCTATGTAATAACGTTTCACAACGATACTGACAAATTAATTTAATACATTTTCAGCCTCAACGACTTTTCCAGTGAACAAATGTAAAATTTATTTGAGTTTACTCATACTGTGACAGACTCACTATAGCTTACATTTCAATTATTTAAAACGTAAATGATAAATAAAACAAATGTTAGCAGTGACTGTTAGCAATGTCAACCCGATTGATGTCTCAGTGCAGAGAGAGTGTGGTGGTTCTGGCACTGGCTCAGCAGTAGCAAATACAATGCTCATTGTCTGGTACATTTCACATAGCCCAAGTTTTGCCTTAATATCATGGCTGACCTCACGTCTCCTCTAGGCACCATTGTGGGCGGCACAAAAATAGAATGTCATTACGACTGGAAAGAGTAAGAACAGCCATGCTCCATCTTCATCTGCACCACTCTTCCAGAGCCCAGGGAGTGTCGAGTCTCCTCCCCGTTTCTCTCCTCTGAGCTGGTGTGATAAGAGTAGAGATTTGTAAAACCATTTGTTTGAGCCCAGAGAAAGAAATTTGGCAAGCGAAACGGAACGTGGCCTTGAACTGGGCTCCAAAGTCAACACTATGGCTTTGTCAATCCTGTAATAGCACGCTCGGCATGACACCAGTATACTCCTTTAGTTCTCTATTCCTTTACCCTTTCTCTTTCCTCACCGTCAATCATGTGTTATCATGTGTTGATATCCTATCAACATCAATATCTATAGCCCATGAAGGAAAGATTTTCCACAAATGAAAACTAGTAGAGGGGTCCACAAGAGCAATCATGTGAGAAAGCAAATATTGTTTCATAGAGGACGTACCTTGGAGGGGTCGGAAGCAGTAATGATCCAGGTGCAGTTGGCATTGTTATCATATTGGACTGGGAAGTTGGGAGATGTGATGACACCACTGGGGCCTCGGAGCTGGCCTCCACACATGGGTGCTGAATGAGAGAAAGATATTTTATATATATAATTTTTTTTAAATAAATAAATAAATAAATAAATAAATAAATAAATAAATAAATAAATAAATATATATATATATATATATATATAGAGAGAGAGAGAGAGAGAGAGAGAGAGAGAGAGAGAGAGAGAGAACAGATTTAAAACCAACTGTTGTTGTTCAAAGAGAAAAAAAATACATTAATTTTCCATACCGTTTACTATACACAGGAGCCTTGAGAATATCCAAGGGAACAAAGGGCACAAGGTGGGATATACTGTGGATGGGATGCCAACCCATTGCAAGGCACAATCATACACATTCACACACTAAGGACATTTTGGCCTACAACACATGTCTTTGGACTAGGGAAGGAAGCTGGAATACCGGGAACATATTTAATCACTGTTAACTACAATCAGTTCTCTTCTGTTGATTAAATCTCTTATTATTAATGCCAATGTAAGCCATCTAAACATTTTTAAAACTTTGTCTTCTGTCATTTGTACAGAGTTTGTATGCACTGTTCTTTGTGTTGATGATGATGTGATGGAGCAGAAGAACCACATACATTTTGACAGTCGGTATCTCATTCCAAACTGAACTGATCTTTATGCAGACTGACTGTATTTACTGGTACACTTATTAAATTGACATACACAGTTATAGAGTTCCAGGATTCAAAAAGTGAACAATTTAATCGAGTGAAAAATACATAATAGTATTTGTAAACCAAGTGTACAATTTTATATTGTTGATTTGTACTTATATAATTTAGTACAACTCGTATTCTGGTAAAATATTCTGTTATTTTTCCACAAGTTGTGCATATAAATAAGTGATTTGTATGCATTTACATAACCGTCATTCATGTAATGGAGGCATTTTTTATTGTGCAGCTTTTCTTCTTGGAACTGCTCAGAACAGAAACAAGCATGAACTTCCTAATGTAATCTGTGGACACATCTGTGGGGATTTATGTGCTCCCAGTGTTTCTGAAAATGTGCTCTTCTAAAAGAGTTCACTTAAGTGCAATTACCTGTTTTCTCAGCAAAGCCTATGAACTAATGCATCATGGTAGCATGCTCTGTGATTTAAAAAGGCAATTATAGTAGTACAGGCTTGTATTAAAGCCAATACTTGAAAATTACAGTAAATATTATTTTCCAAGTTGCCAAAAACTGGTTTATATCAGGATGTTGTTTTTGACCACAACAACACATGCCATGCTTTTGGAGAGACCTTTTGAGGTTTATATACTTTTGATGACAACATGACTTTTCTGTGACTTTCCATATTTTCGTAGTTTTACATTTGAATAGAGTCTTTTATGCAACTTTTGTGTCCTCCAGGAGGACTTTAAAGCCCTGACAAAATGAAAGTGCTCGCTACTTAATGAGGAAGGAGGGCATAGTCAGTGTTTGCAGTAAATGAACAAGTCTACAAGTCTGGGACTAGCTGCAGCTCTTTAATGAGTTATGTCTGAGGTGAACGCCTCAGGGGGCCACACACACACGCACACACACACACACACACACACACACACACACACACACACAGCGTCCTTGCATACTTAAAGGTGAGTTGACAAGTTGACATTAAAGAATAAATCTTTAAGAAAGTTAATTAGCACCATGGCCCACTGACCACAGTTTTCATCTTCATATTATAATACATGTAATCTCTGGTCTTTGGTATTTTACTTAATTTCTGTTATAGGTCATTTACTCAAGGTTTTCTTTTTCTTTTCTTTTTTCCATGTTAGATACTGCTATGATGAGTGGTGATGTCAATCTAGAGAGTATGTAACATGCAAATTTTAGAGAATATTAAACAAAAAATATCAATATTTATAATTAACATGGGCCATTCAAGATTTATTTTACAATCAAATTCTGAGCTGACTTTTTGTAGTTTAAACAGTTTTCATTAGCATGTTGGTCTATTTTCACTTTTTTCACTACATAATGTCTACATTAACCATAATGCTGTTCGACTACCTGCTTATTGGGATTTAGTCTTGCTTCATCTCAACCCAAAGAGAGTGATGTAGCAGAACTTTATCTCCTTTAGTCTGCCTAGCACTCCCACCTCATTCATCTGTACATTCTACTCAAATGGATAAGGCTCCAAAGCTTCAGCTTTCATACTAATACCACCATCAATGCCATTGTGCTTATTGCCACGTAACACACACACACACACCACACCTTAACCATTGTACTATGTACTAAATAAAACAAGCTATATAAATTAAATTAGTTACTGTATCATAGCTTTTTTATTTTCCACATATAAGCGATGATACAGTATCCTGCAGCTAGGAATCACTTAAAGGGGAAAAAAATCTCTCATATGTACACTAAGTAGAGCAGATTAGATTAGATAATTAGATAATCACCTTTACTCTATGCAGGTGTTTCCAGCTCTTTCTGGTTGAATTGAATCAGTGTGAAATTTCGCACCAGGGTACATGAGTCAGAGCTAGGTATTTGAGCTAGGTGATTTAACACTAGAAGGTATAGAAGAGTGCAAATACAATAGTATTTGCGGAGAAGCCTTTGGATAAAGATCCGGAGAAGCCTTTGGATAAAGATGATGAGATTGACTTGAACCTACTGAGACGTAATACCAAAGAGCCACTTTAGACCATTGAAAGTTTTATTAACTGGGAAAAAAAATTATAGCTCATATACTGTATGGTATTGCGCTTTGTAAAAGTGACTCCGTCTCACGTTCCTGTAGCTTATCTCTTATGGCTTGCACAGTTTGCGCTGATGTGAACAGTTACACCTTACCCTGGAGAATTTATCACTTTGCACATAATCCACTAACAAATATAAATCTCAAAGCATGACCTTCATATAGTGTATTTGCGGCAAAACAGAATTTAATTATCTTTAAATCGTTGAAATAACCTTTTTTACTGTGTGTTCTTCAGGACAAACTGGATGTTTTGTCTGACATTCATTTTCTTCTATCAGTGTTTCCTTCTTGTCTGACTTTTCTGTAGTTATTTGCAATTAACAAATGGTTTATGAGTAACTGGTATTTATTAGTGTCCGATGAAACAAGACAAATAATTCCTTGAAAAGAGACAATTGATTTGAAAAGGTTTCAAAATGCTTAAGCCAAATATCACTACTCTTCACATAACTAATGGGACTATTGTGCAGAGCAGCGGGGTTTCTCTGCTAGTAAATACCTTCTCCATCCAAGATCTATTCCCCTTTTCTGCACAAGGGCACAGTCCAATACTGTACAAGAGCTAACCAACCAAAAACTGATCATTAAACAATCAAAAACAAAACTGCATTCTTAGTCTTCCATCTCAGAACT